ACAGTAGAACACATAGGACATGAAGACAGTAGAACACAAGGACAGTAGAACACATAGGACATGAAGACAGTAGAACACGAGGACAGTAGAACACATAGAACACGAAGACAGTAGAACACATAGGACATGAAGACAGTAGAACACAAGGACAGTAGAACACATAGGACATGAAGACAGTAGAACACGAGGACAGTAGAACATATAGAACATGAAGACAGTAGAACACATAGGACATGAAGACAGTAGAACACAAGGACAGTAGAACACATAGAACATGAAGACAGTAGAACACATAGGACATGAAGACAGTAGAACACGAGGACAGTAGAACACATAGGACATGAAGACAGTAGAACACGAGGACAGTAGAACACATAGAACATGAAGACAGTAGAACACATAGGACATGAAGACAGTAGAACACAAGGACAGTAGAACACATAGAACATGAAGACAGTAGAACACATAGGACATGAAGACAGTAGAACACGAGGACAGTAGAACACATAGAACATGAAGACAGTAGAACACATAGGACATGAAGACAGTAGAACACAAGGACAGTAGAACACATAGGACATGAAGACAGTAGAACACATAGAACATGAAGACAGTAGAACACATAGGACATGAAGACAGTAGAACACAAGGACAGTAGAACACATAGGACATGAAGACAGTAGAACACAAGGACAGTAGAACACATAGGACATGAAGACAGTAGAACACGAGGACAGTAGAACACATAGAACACGAAGACAGTAGAACACATAGGACATGAAGACAGTAGAACACATAGGACATGAAGACAGTAGAACACATAGGACATGAAGACAGTAGAACACGAGGACAGTAGAACACATAGGACATGAAGACAGTAGAACACGAGGACAGTAGAACACATAGAACATGAAGACAGTAGAACACATAGGACATGAAGACAGTAGAACACAAGGACAGTAGAACACATAGAACATGAAGACAGTAGAACACATAGAACATGAAGACAGTAGAACACGAGGACAGTAGAACACATAGAACATGAAGACAGTAGAACACATAGGACATGAAGACAGTAGAACACAAGGACAGTAGAACACATAGAACATGAAGACAGTAGAACACATAGAACATGAAGACAGTAGAACACATAGGACATGAAGACAGTAGAACACATAGGACATGAAGACAGTAGAACACATAGGACATGAAGACAGTAGAACACAAGGACAGTAGAACACATAGGACATGAAGACAGTAGAACACATAGAACATGAAGACAGTAGAACATGAAGACAGTAGAACACATAGAACATGAAGACAGTAGAACACAAGGACAGTAGAACACATAGAACATGAAGACAGTAGAACACAAGGACAGTAGAACACATAGGACATGAAGACAGTAGAACACGAGGACAGTAGAACACAAAGAACATGAAGACAGTAGAACACATAGGACATGAAGACAGTAGAACACAAGGACAGTAGAACACATAGGACATGAAGACAGTAGAACACGAGGACAGTAGAACACATAGAACATGAAGACAGTAGAACACATAGGACATGAAGACAGTAGAACACAAGGACAGTAGAACACATAGGACATGAAGACAGTAGAACACGAGGACAGTAGAACACATAGAACATGAAGACAGTAGAACACTTAGGACATGAAGACAGTAGAACACAAGGACAGTAGAACACATAGGACATGAAGACAGTAGAACACATAGGACATGAAGACAGTAGAACACAAGGACAGTAGAACACATAGGACATGAAGACAGTAGAACACATAGAACATGAAGACAGTAGAACACGAGGACAGTAGAACACATAGGACATGAAGACAGTAGAACACATAGGACATGAAGACAGTAGAACACAAGGACAGTAGAACACATAGGACATGAAGACAGTAGAACACATAGAACATGAAGACAGTAGAACATGAAGACAGTAGAACACATAGAACATGAAGACAGTAGAACACATAGGACATGAAGACAGTAGAACACAAGGACAGTAGAACACATAGAACATGAAGACAGTAGAACACAAGGACAGTAGAACACATAGGACATGAAGACAGTAGAACACGAGGACAGTAGAACACATAGAACATGAAGACAGTAGAACACATAGGACATGAAGACAGTAGAACACAAGGACAGTAGAACACATAGGACATGAAGACAGTAGAACACGAGGACAGTAGAACACATAGAACATGAAGACAGTAGAACACATAGGACATGAAGACAGTAGAACACAAGGACAGTAGAACACATAGGACATGAAGACAGTAGAACACATAGAACATGAAGACAGTAGAACACGAGGACAGTAGAACACATAGGACATGAAGACAGTAGAACACATAGGACATGAAGACAGTAGAACACAAGGACAGTAGAACACATAGGACATGAAGACAGTAGAAACATAGAACATGAAGACAGTAGAACACAAGGACAGTAGAACACATAGAACATGAAGACAGTAGAACACATAGGACATGAAGACAGTAGAACACAAGGACAGTAGAACACATAGGACATGAAGACAGTAGAACACATAGAACATGAAGACAGTAGAACACGAGGACAGTAGAACACATAGAACATGAAGACAGTAGAACACATAGGACATGAAGACAGTAGAACACAAAGGACAGTAGAACACATAGAACATGAAGACAGTAGAACACATAGAACATGAAGACAGTAGAACACATAGAACATGAAGACAGTAGAACACATAGAACATGAAGACAGTAGAACACAAGGACAGTAGAACACATAGGACATGAAGACAGTAGAACACGAGGACAGTAGAACACATAGAACATGAAGACAAATGTGATGTAATGTAAATATAAAGAACAAAGGAACATAGAGACTGTAAAACATAAAAATTGTAGAAAATTAAGAAGGAAGAAACACAAAGAACACAGAACGTAAAGAACAAAGGGGTCAGATCAACCTCGCCCTTCCAGACTTCTTGGGGGAAGTTGAGGTGACTCTGGATATTTCAAGGCCTTGAGAAGTAAACATTAAAACCTTTCCAGGACTTCCAGCCTCCGACTGATTTCACACCGACTCGACTTCAAAGCCGTCGCAGCGACACGCCGACGCGTTAGAAGTTGCACTTGAACGCAGCGCAGAGCAGCTGACGGTCAGCTGACGGTCAGCTGACAGCGAGTCCTGCAGGAGGAACTCTGGACCGGACCTGAGCCTGAGCTGCAGAACATCTTCTGTCCAGCTGACGCTGCGTTTACTTGCTCTAAGGAGGTTACGGTCCACGAGAGAACCGGGTTCCTGCAGGATCTCACGTTAAAGATGTTTCATCATCACAAGGGATCAAATTCGGTCTGATGGGAACCAGATTTAAACACACACTCCTCTCTGCTCAAAAACCCTAAATCACTGAATCTCCCAGCATCCTCTCTGAGCCGCGGGGGGGCAGGGATCAGAGGGAGGGGTGAGTCCCCCCCCACACACACACACAGACAGGATGTTTGATGAATTCCACATAAACAAGAAGAGACTGAACAATCAATAATCTGTGTTGAATATTAACCAGCAGAACCTTCAGACGAGGGTCAGACCAGCGACCCTCAGGGATCCATTCTGGCTCCTTACGGACTCTAGAACCTGACGCCCTGCTTCTGGTTCTGATCCAGATTCCTGCTTCCTGTTTGAACTGACCTTTTAAAGTTGACCTGACAAAGGAAACGTTTCGAGCTTTTCTGCAGCTTTGGGACCCGTCACATGGTCTTCCTCTGAGAACTGAAGGTCCAGAGAGAAGCCAGTAAGGGGACCTTGAGTTTAGATTCTGAACTTTCCAGCAGAAACCAGAAAAGCTTATTAAAATGATCTTTTAAAGCAAACGTCAGGTCCTGCAGACGGTCTGATCTGTGTCGCTGCGATGGAAGCGGATTCACCAGGAGGATCCTGGAGGATCAGATATTAGATTTATTTATATTCCAACAGAGTCCAAATGTCATAACTCTGCTATTCACGGAGAACACGGCGGCAGTCTCTGCAGGTTTTGATTGTAAGTTTTAAGCTCTGGGGTGGAACAGAACCCGTGAGTCACTCTGGACTCTTCATATGATTGACAGCAGCTGTTAGGAGCAGCTCTACATCAGGTCATCAGTCTCTACAGACACACAGGCTGACCCCGCCCTCACCCCTGACCTTTGACCTCACACAGCACACCTGAGTCATGACGCGGACCCGTCCGGACCTACCAGCTGTTTCCGGAGCAGCAGGATGTTCTCCTCCAGCAGCTTCTCCTCGGAGCTGAGCTGAGCCTCCCTCCTCTGCTCCTCCAGCGCGGCCCGGACCAGAACCTCCTGCCGCTGCCGCAGGAACTCCAGCTCCCCGAGCCCGGACACGGTGGCCTCCAGCCGCTCCCGAACCGAGCTCCGCCGCTCCGCCGCCTCCGCCTCGGCAGCGGCTCGGTCCCGGAAGGGAGGCCGGGAGGCGGCGGACTGCAGCATCTCCTCCGCCAGACTCTCCGGAGCGACCTCAGGGTCTCTGCAGCCTCAGGGTCCGGAGGGTCCGCAGGACGGGACCAGCATTGTGCGGACCGGGTCACCGTGAGGAGAAGCAGCAGGGTCGGATCAGAGGACTCACCGCGTTAAACTGACCAAGTTAAAGTAACCCGGGTTAAAAACCGGGTTAAACGGACCAGGTCTAAAGTCTCAGATCCTCAGACTGGTCTCCGCCGCAGCTCTCGCTATCAACCGGTGGTTTAACGGTCCTCCCGCGGACAAACAGCTACAATCTGTCCGGTGAATCAGTCCCGGGTCCGCTCGGGTAGGTGTGCAGGTAAATCCCAGCATGCCCCGGGGCAGCAGCGCGGAGCGGATCCGTCAGAAAGGAGCGCAGAGTCGGACTGAGCTCCGTCCTGCTGCCGCTGCTCCTGAAGCTCCGTCCGGACTGACGACTGGCTCACGGCGGCCCCGCTAAGCCCCGCCCCCTCCACGCTGCCCGACGGGCCGTTTGACGTCAGCATCAATGCAGACATGCAGTTCCTGTACGCCCCTTCAAAATAAGACGTCTCGATGAAGCGGTGAGAAGAGCAGAGGTGAAAAACATCTCCAGGTTTAAAGAAGATGCTTGATGTAGGTAGGTGGTACTAGAGTATTTTCTGCTTCACTACATGTAGCCTTTCTGTATCTACAACACAAAATGAATTCAACACATGAACGCATCGATAGTATTACATGTTTCTGTGTACTTTTAAGTACATTTTGATGTTTTGTTTTTATTAGAATATGTTTTGATAATGCAGTGTAGGGGAGAGCAGGGCGTGCTGTCACCTTTACATCTGACCTCATGACGGAGCTGCAGACTGTTGAACAGAGAGCTTGACAAAATAACTTCTGCTGTCAGAGGTGATGGTTCTTTTGCATAATCGTGTCCCTCGATGGACAGATGAGACTTGTGGTTGACCAAAAAGAGGAAACTTTAAGCACTTTGCATGCTCATTGAAATGTTTCAGGAAGTCCACAAAGTGCGCATCTTTCATCCATTCAGAGGGATTTGCCTCTCCTTTGCTTGTCAGGTGGCCCGTTGATCAGGAAGTGATTGCGGGAGTTTACACGGTAGGAAAATAAAATATTCCCTGTGGCTGAGAAAGCTCAGGTGATCCTTTCAGCGGAGGTCAGGGACCTGGCTGTCTGAATCCACGCCTGGCCGCCACTTTGTCTGGGTTACGTACAGAAATGGACCCAGTTTCATCAACAGTCCACACGTCTCCTGGTCCAAACTCACTTAGAAGAAAACCTTTTCTCTGCAGCTCCTTCCTGAGCGACAGCACTGTGTGCCGTTCAACTTCAAATCTTCTGACCTCACTTGTCAGCTGACCAATTCATATATTTAACAAGCTGCTTCTTTAAATCAGGTGAACAACTCTTCTGTGGTGTTTCATAAGCAACGTTGTTGTCAGCGTGGCGGTCTGACTTTCAGATTCCTCTGGGAATCTTTTGACCGATCCGAGTCAGATGTTAAAATCCTTCTCTGTCCTCCTGACAGATTTGCTCCTCAGCCGCCTGACGGCCTGTAACGTTATGTCAGTGTTCTGCTCTGTGATTACAAAGAAATTACAGGCGTGTTACGCTGTCTACTGTCCCATATTCATCACACCACACTAAACAAATGTGTGTGTGTCTGCTAACACACCACATGCACACACACTTCATACAGTGTCCAGGGATGCTGCGGCAAACTGCAGCTCCAATATTCCCTTTAGCAGATTTTAATGCTGCTGTCAGAGCAACGTTCACACACCGTCTTTCCAGCATGCGTCTGTTTGTACTGAAGCACGTACATGTGACAACTTGCCCCAAACTGACGTGTGCTAATGCTGGCGAAACCTCAAGGTTAGCTCGACACTTCAGCTGAAGCATCAAAAGACACGTTATTGTCTCCTCTACTGAGAACAAACATGATGATTTCGCACGGTCACACTTAAAAAAGTCGAACTGTTTGAACAGGAAGTTGACCGTAGAACAGGAAGTCACACAAAGTGGCTGGTGTTCTGAACAGTGTGACGCCTCTCCCCGCTCTCCCCTAGTAATACTAGAGTAATACTACACCCCAGGTACTTCTGCTTTTACTTGAAACATTTAACATGTGATTCATTCACATTCAGGCAGTGACGGATGAAGTATTCAAATCCTTTACTTAAGTAAAAGTACTACAAGAACACTTTAAAAACACTCTGTTACAAGTAAAAGTACTGCATGTTACTAAAGTATGTAAGTGTAATCAGGAACAACAAGTATTAAAAGTAAAAGTACTGAAAGCAGAAAGAAAAACGTCCTGTGACTGTTCTGCTATCATAGATTAGATTATTATTCTTAAAGCAGGATTTGAACTGTTTTGTATCAGACTGCATCAAGATCAATGACTTGTTTAATCAGCTGATCGTTTTCTCTGTTAATCGATTGGAAATGTTACTCAGAGCCCAGAGTGACTCCTTCACTGTGTTTGTTCTGTCAGTCCAAACCTCAAAATGACTTCAGCATTATCAGAGTAGCTTCACTACATTTTCTGGCCATTGTGTACCTGTGTAAACTGTTGGAGTTTAATTTATTACCAAACCTTATATTTTATAAACTCTTCATGTGTTGTGTGTAAAAATCTGACTTTGTAAAATAAGTGAAGCTGTCAGTAAAAAGTGTTCTGATGACGGCAGTGAAGTCTTTTCTAAAAATGTTAAATGTTGTGAATAAACAGCTGAATGTTTTATTTTGGAGGGTACACCACTTCCTGTCTGATTCCTTAAATTTGTAGGAACTTGATGCCCACCCCCCCACCCACCCACTGACAGGCTTCTGTGTGGTCCTAATGCCCTCCATTTTTCAACCCAACAGCTTCCAAACACTATTTAATACCTCAGATGTGCGCTAGAAGTATTTGATACTCTTGAGTTTTCACATAAAATGATTTTAAATTAATAATAATTAGAATTTGGTTGAGAGCAGCATAATGTTCAGTTCAGGTTTTACAAAATAAACATAATCATTTTTATCAAAGTTTCAATGAGAGAAACAAAGAAACATGAAATCTAATCAAAATAATTTTTATATTATATTTGTTCAGAATGAAAAAAATAAAAACATGTTGAGTTAAGATAACAGAGTGGTGCAGACCTGCTCTACATGAAAAGAGCAAAACTGGCACTAAATAAATAAACTGAGTCACTCTCTGCTGAATAAAAATCTAATATTCGCAGCATATTTCCATCAGAGACGATAATCTTTGTGTCTAAAATGCCACTGTGTCTTTGTGTGTTTCTGGGTCAGTTTAAATGACGGCCTCTGTATGAGGAGTTAATGAGGTGACTGGCTCAGCTTCATTTGTATGTTAATGAGGGGGAGGAGCTGGGAGCAGAGCGCCCCCTGCTGCTGCAGCTGCAGACGCTCAGCTCTTTGTGTTTCACAGCTTCTTCAGGGTCACGTGCTCAAAACTCTTCAGAAACAGAAGATGTGGACCAAACTGAAGCAGTTCTCTCTCACTCAGAAGGCTTCTCTCATCACGGCCTGCAGAACACTTCGTCTGCAGCACATTTCTCCCCGTGTGCCATTAACGTATGTTATTATACGTTATATGTCATTTAGAGAGCGGCTGTCAGGGTGAACGATAATAGAATTCATGGTCATGGGAACAGAAACCAGAGGATTTACAACCTTTGTAATGATCACTAGGTTTTTTGATTATTCATGTGCTTTTTAATTAATTAACTTTCATCCTTTAATAAGGTTTGATGACTGCTCTACTGTTTTATCATTGTTATTTTATATCATTGTAAAGCTCCTTGTGACTTGCTCTGTGAACGCTGAATATTAAATTAACGATGTCACACCTGTTTTGTTCTAGTAGTTGTAGAAACATCTCAAGGATGATCAGATAACATACTTTATTGTCCCTGAAGGGAAATTTGTTTTGGACTCCATATAAATCAGACCTGTAGAGTCACGTTACCTCCTCAGTGCTGCGCTCAGCTTCATGGAAAAGATTTCAAACAAACTTTGTTCACGTTGTCATTCTGGGTGCTGCTTGTTGAATTTTGAGGAAAATCTTGGAATAAGGGTGAAGTGCTGTGAACTCTTTCCACATGCTCTGTATTTAATTTAAAACCGATCGACCAATCAGACGGGCCGACGGCGGCGAACAAAGACCTGTTCAGTCTGAGGATTTAAAGGAGCAGTCCTGCTTTTTTGATCGGCCGATCAGTTTCTGCGTCTGACCACGCACCTGAAGAGACGTCCTCAGCTGATTGGCTCACAGCGGGAGGCGATGTGTTGCATGACAACCAAGGTTATTGCTGCTGTCACCTGGTTACTCATCAAAGACTCACAGCTGATCATAATATAATCTGTGTTTAGAGGCGGAGAGCTTCCGGTCCAGATTAGCTTTTCATTGGACGGTTTGTGGAGTCGACTCTGTGGCTAAAACGCGTGAAAACTAATTCTGCACAAACGCTTTGAACTTTATATGAACTGAAACAGACGGCATGTTGAACACAGAGTTCTTCTCTTTAATAAACTAATAAGTTAATAACTGATGTTTCCACCGAGCTCAGCGGCGACGTCAGCGTGTCTGCAGTTACAATATAAACCACACACACCGAGGTCCAGTCTGTCTGTGAGACGAGCTCAAACCAGGTTCTGGTTGGGGACGGCTGGTGGGACGTTTGGAACTGTTTCCTGATGTTTTACAAACCAAATAAAGACGTTTCTCGTGTTTATTTAAAGTTTCTCATCTTTAAAAGCCTGAAAAAGAAACTGAGGTCAACCTGCAGCTGATCTGTGACGTCCAACACGGAGGACAGAAGCAAAGATCTGCAGACGGGCGGCGAAGACAACAGGGTCATAAAGTATTGATGAATCAAACAAAGAGCTTCGGCCGCGTTAAAGCTTTTTGTTCCTGGAGATATTTCTGGACCTTTAATGCTCACAGGAAACCACAGGAGACCAGAACCAGATCAGGTGTCAATAACCAGACCCTGTGTTCCTGAACGTGGAGGAACAGCCCCCCCCGGTGGTGGACCAGGTCTGAGGACGGTCCGTGAGGAGGACGTGTTGCAGCAGATCGATCTGATTAATGAGCTGATGAATAATGAAGAGTGTTTGATGTGTGAGTGCCCCAAGGCCTGAGATCAGCTGATCGTCTGCAGCCTCCTTAGAACTCAGAGTTTAATCCTTCGCCTGAGAACATCGATCGTCAGACAGACACACAGATGCACAGAGAGCTGATCGATCAGTCTGATCAATACTCCCAGACAGACTCAAACATCTGAATGAGCCGTCGGCTTCACGCTGCTGCTGCTGAGAGCCTGCGGATCAGAACCAGAACCAGAACTCCTTCGTTGACCCAGAGGGGAAATTCTTTGTTTCAAATTGCTCACTTTGCACATCAGGGTATTAGAAATGATAATAGAAAGCAGTGTGGACATGTGCAGTTTTTTACAGTCATAACAGAAGTGTCTTGATAAATGAAAGCTACATGAATAAAAACTACTAACAGTAGTGAAAGTGGACACGAAGCTGTTCCTGTGATGTAGAGACAGAGCTCAGGTAACACAGGTTAATAACTCTTGATCCAGTCCGGGCTCTGAAGCTGGTTCTGGATCAGACTCGGCTCCATCATGTACGGCTGCTTTGTTTTGGATCACACCAGCTTGCTTGTAAAGACCTGCCCTACTCTGCTTCTGATTGGTTAGTTTCTTGTCTAAAGTCTGTAGATGATGACAACTCATGTAGTCAGAGGTCACCAAGTACTGCAGAGAAAAACTACCAGCAAGTCAGACCGACACCCAACAGCAGACCGACCCACACGGCGCTGAACCAGAACCAGAGGGCCTGTAGGTTCACTTTTACAGGCCTAATTCCTAATTCTTATCGGCTTACTCTTTTTTAGGAAATATCTCCTTTCCTCTCGCGCATGTTGGCTGTGAATGAAATGTAATCTGCGTTCAATAAAGCTGTAGTCAAATCACACACCTGGATTTGAACATTTACCTGGGCAGGTAAAACTCCTGAATTCCAGATGAAAACAAATGTCAGCTTATTGTCAAAATCCTCACAGAAGACTTAAAGGAGACGTGTTATTCTGATTTCATATTGTAGTTCTGTGACTCCTGTGCTGCAGCTTTGTATGTCTCATACTGACTCTTCATGTAGGCCTTCATTTCAGCCTCTGTCTGAAACAAGCTGTAGATGCTCCTGTCTCTTTAAGCCCCCCCTCTCAAAGTCCACTGTCTTCTGATTGGCTGTTGTCTCATGTGTTCACCAGGGGCAAGTTCAGTGCAGATGAAACGGTGTGTTTACAGACATGTCGCAGCTGATTGGGTAACACCTGAGACACGCCCACCAAACGGGAGAAAACAGACCTCGAAGCCCGTTGAGGAACGTTGCGAGGAGACATATTGTTCAATCCGAAAACGTTGCAAAATGTTTTCGGATTGAACTCGCCCAGGTTGCCGCAGGGATGGGGCTGCGTGTTCCTTTGTGGGCGTGGCCAGCATGCTTTGTCTAGGGCAAATGACCATATAAGGAAATCCAGCTCAGAATGACATCATACCGAGTCAGAAAACCTAACCTACAGCGTCTCCATGAGCTGGTTCTGTGATGCACTGGACTTTATTTAACAGCAGCTGCAAGTGATGCAGACAAGACATGCAACTAAGGTCGAGGTTCAGGAATGGTACGGTCCGTTTTAGAGGTGTCGGAAGGCATGAATATGGGAATAAGATAGGTAAGAATGACCCCACGTGTTGCCTCTGCTGGGGGGTCCAAGTCTCAATCCCCCTTGTTTTTCAAACCATGCTTGGTACTGAGCATGTGCAGCTCCCAACCAAGATCTACTAGAAGTGAGATGCTTCAACACGCAGAGTGAAAAGAGGAGCTGCAGCAGAGATCTGGTGTAAACCTGCTCTGCTCCAAATCAAATGAGGAACGTGAAAATGAGCTCAACACGACCTCTTCAGGTAAAGAAGTAAGAAGTCTGGTTTACATTTATCTTTTCATCATTTCTAACGCAGAAATGAATTGTGCTTCAGATCTAGACTTAAAACCCAACTGTTGCTTTCTGTTAACTGACCACATGCAATCCTTTGTGGATGCTCCTGTCTCTGCAGTGAGTCTCCAGACCTCTGAAACCCAGACCTCTAGACCTCTGACTTTAGACCCTTGTTGACAGATGTCCATAATAATAATAATGAAAAGACTTTGTAACCACAGCACAACGTGGTTTTCAGATGAAAAGTGTCGGTAATCCAGGCAGCAGAAGTCTTCGTCTTATCTCTGTTCAACACGGGAAGTTCAACATTTCAACATGCTGATCACAGTTTGTTATCTTTATCATTTTAGCACTTTGAACTGCATCATTTCCCCCCCAAGCTATCAGACCTTTATGCTCAAAGTCACCCTCACTGCTCCTCTGAATATAGTTTATTCTGTTTACCATTTTTATATTTGCTTCTATATTGATGTCTGTTGTCTGCTATGTAGCAGAAGGGAGTTACAAACTCAGTTTCTGTTAGACTGTGACAAATGTGTGTGTGTTTACAACACATTAATATTGGTGACTAGTTAATGATCTGTATGTCGAAGCGTGCTGACTGTTTTGTGCACTCAGTGTTATTGTGGTGTAATGTATTATTCTCTGTGTTGTTTTATTATGTTGTCCTTTTTTGGACTACAGATGAAAATTATAGTATCTCAAAAAAAGTGAGGACACCCCTCAGTGAAAATGTCCACATTGGGCCCAATCAGCCATTTTCCCTCCCCGGTGTCATGTGACTCATTAGTGTTACCAGGTCTCAGGTGTGAAAGGGGAGCAGGTGTGTTAAATTTGGTGTTGTCGCTCTCACACTCCCTCATATGCACGCTCACTACTTTACACTGTTATACAAGCTGCACGCTCGCTACTTTACGCTGTTCGACAAGCTGCACGCTCGCTACTTTACGCTGTTCGACAAGCTGCACGCTCGCTACTTTACGCTGTTATACAAGCTGCACGCTCGCTACTTTACGCTGTTATACAAGCTGCACGCTCGCTACTTTACGCTGTTCGACAAGCTGCACGCTCGCTACTTTACACTGTTATACAAGCTGCACGCTCACTACTTTACACTGTTATACAAGCTGCACGCTCACTACTTTACACTGTTATACAAGCTGCACGCTCACTACTTTACACTGTTATACAAGCTGCACGCTCGCTACTTTACGCTGTTCGACAAGCTGTACACTCACTACTTTACACTGGAGCAGAGTCATTTCTTCAGTGTTGAACATGAGAAGATAGAATCAGATATTTACAAAAGTGTGAGGGGTGGACTCACTTTGTGAGATGCTGTATGTCCTTTGTTAAATAAATAAACCACCTTAAATAAAAACTGTTTTTCTAAACAGCAGAAAGTTTAAGGAATTTACAGACATCTGATCCTTAAATATCCCTCATTTGTTTAATCAATCCTCATGAATTATTTTTAAAGCTTGTTTAGCTTCCATTAAAGGATTCTTTTAACTGACTGACATGATTGGTTGCCTGGGTTTAAACTGCTTTATAGGGTTAAAAATGTTTTATTTATGATTGGTCTCAGATGCTTTCAGAATCCAGTTGTTAAACTAGTTTACAGGATTCAGAAAATAGTTTTAAGAACTCAAAGTGTGTAATGGAAGAAGTCATACAAATAACATTTAACATATTAAGATGTTATTGTATTGTATTCGTTTCAGATGTGTGATAGTTCTTTATTTTAGTTCTCTTTTCTATATTCCCCATTTTCAAATGTCTTGATTAAGCTGAGGACTGCCTGTCCTGCCCCGCCCTCCCCCCTATAAATTACTGCAAACAGCATCACCGCCTCCACTTGTACAGCTGAAGACAGCAGAAAGCTTCCTCCACCTGAGCAGGTAAATAAACCACCAACAGCAGTTTGTCCAGAGCTGAATTCAGTCCAGAACCTGGTTTCACTTTGCTGCAGGTTCATTTAGTTTTGAATCTTTCCTGTTGCAGCTTGTTGGAGACGAGCAGCTTGTTGGAAACAGCAGTGAAGGTGAGAAACTTTTCGATCATTTAGGAGTTGAACTGATTAACTGGGAGGACAACTAAACACTGATGTTCTGCTGTTCAGATGAATCTCCTGCCCTGGATGATGCTGGTGTTCCTGCTCTCAGCTGGGACCAGTTTGGCTGATGTGGACGTGAACTGGCTGGCTGGGATTGTAGAGGCCATCAGGACAGAGTGAGTAGACTCGTAGTCTGACTGCATTTCATGTCATGTACAGGACAAGAAGGGTTCATTATCCAGTTAAGCCAAATAAAAACATCATCATGTCCCGCGTCTCTTGTCCGTCCAGTCAGATGGTTTTGGTTTTATGTATCCAGGTTTGGAAATATCTGTCTCTGAGATTTCTGCTTCCACCACAACACAAAAGAGGTCCAAACAAAGGAGTATAGGTTTGGGGTTACAAAAATACGCCAACTCACGTATCATGTGTCGGTGCATCGCTGCACCCGGTGTAAGCAGGGATTCCCCCGGAGACCACCATCTACAGTGTAGGAGTATTTTAGACAGACACTCAACAACTCGGTGCTCCGTCAGCTGTGGTAATTGGAAATGGCTTCACTGCAGCACAACTGCTGTGCACAAATACATGAAGCAGCATGAACACATGAAGTGAAAGCATCTCCGAGCACTTTATCAAGACGGCAACAAGCCAGCACTACAAACCCTGTTTACTTTCTGTCCCCACACAAGTCTGGTACGTTATCAGCACGAGGAGCAGGTTTCTGTTACTGGAAGTCTATTAAAAGAGATTACTAGAAACTATTTTCTATTACATTCTGTATTAAAAATTTCTGCATAGCTGCTGTCATGGGAACCTTATTTAACGCCACATATGAGCGAGAAAACAGTTTAAACTTTCACTGTGTGCACAATTATTAGGCGAGTATTTTGACCATATCATCATTTTTTATGTATAAAGCATTTTTATTTGTATAAAGCTGAATGCACCCTTTCTTCTCCGTGCCCTTTTGGTGCCACAACTATTAGCAACAAAACGTTTGATTGTCCTGGGGTCACGCCTCAACAGTTGAGCCATTTCAAAAGTGTTGCCTCCGTCTGAAAGACATTTTACAGATTTTAACATTTCAGTCTTTTCAATCTCTTTTTGGCCCATTTTGCCTGAGGTAATGAAGCTGCCTGATAATCATACACACCTTGATATAAGGTGTTGAACTCCTTAGGTCAAACCCTCCCTCATTACACAAATACACATCACCTGATATGCTTAAATCCAATAAGCATTTAACTTTAAACAGCTTGGAGTTGGAAAATATGCATAAAGTTGATATGTTCAAAATACTGTGACTAGTCTGTGACTGCTGTTAGTCTGTAGTCTCAGTTACATTTGCATATTACTCCAATGATGAACGAAATCCATGTTAGAAACAACTTACTTAACGTACAACGTAACAACGTACTTATTGTTAAGGCAGCACGGTGGCCCCACAGCAAGAAGGTCCCGGGTTAGTTGTCCGGTGGTCCCCGTTACAACCCTTCTGGCTTTGAACCCCGGTCGTCCCGGCCTTTCTGTGTGGACCATCAGAAACATGTCAGGTTCTCCAGTCAGTGCCGTTTGACCAGACAATGCATTAAATCTGGAGTTGGTCCCTGGTCGCTGTACAATGGCCGCCCACTGCTCTCTTCAGGGATGGGTTAAATGCAGAGAATTAATTTCGCTATGTGTATGTGACAAATAAAGTACCTTTAATATCATAACACAGCAGTGATATGGAAAATTTGACTCATTTTAAGATCTGCTGCTATTCTCCTTATTCTAATGGAGGTGCAGCCTAAATATTAACTTTTGTCCACATTGAGAAGAGCAGATTGACTTTCATTAGTTCAGATGGAGGAACTGCTGGTCAGCTCTCTGTGATCTTTCTTTTCCCGGGTTTACATACTGTGTTTATGGTACTGGTGTTGTTCGTTTTATGAATTTTCGCTGGTGAACATCTAAGGATGTCAGAGTTTATGATCCAACGCTCGGGTCTATCAGACTTTCTAGAGTGAAAGAACTTTAAGATTGTTACTGTGCACATGGACAACAGTCTGTTTCAACTGAGCTGCTTATAAAAATCTTACATTACAATTAGCTGACACTTTTATCAAAAGTGACTTACAATTGCTCTACATGTCAGAGGTCGCACGCCTCTGGAGCAACGAGGGTTAAATGTCTTGCTTCTGGACACAAAGGCATGTGTCTTATCCACTGCGCCATCACTACCCTTTAACAACACTGAGCCTGAAGTGTGAGTAAGACATGGCAACTAAAACAATCCACGTACAGTCAGTCCAGCTCAGGAATGATGATCTGTCAGAATCAGAACAAAAATGCTCATCAGACCTCAGTCTGTTCAAACGATCTTCCAGTGCTCATTAAGTAATCACAGACTGCTCTAAATACAGAAATACAGTTTAAATAGTCTGTCAGCAGCTTTGTCTTCAGAGGAAACTCTTAGTGATAAAGAGTTGGTGACGTGTAGTAGAGCTGCTGGTGCAGGGATCAGATCCTCTGTGAATTCGACCCCAGAGTTTCCTGATGAATAACCTTCCTCTCTGAATCAAATCATCTCAGTTCTGTGTTACAGTTTGTGCATCTGTCTCCTTCAACAGGTACAAGATAAACGGACAGTTCTGTCTGGCCGCGAACATCCCACTGAGCGAAGACCAAAACGCGATTGGTAACGCCCTACAGTTTGACCGCTACAGTGGAAATGTTAAAGACATGATTAATGGGGGTGATGTGTATGAAAGCCAGACAGTGGTCATAGCCAAACCTGCAGGACCTGTACACGCAGAACCTCAAGTTCTGCAAAAGTTGAGCACATTGAGGAGAAACAGTGAGGGAAACTTCCTGCTCATCTACTCTTACCTCTCCCCATGTGGAGACAAGTGTGCAAACCCAGACAATCAAAAGCACAACATCCTTCAATACTTTAGAAACAATGCCCTTGCACCTTGGAAAAATAGTTATGCCTTTGTGTTTACAAGAGTCTTTGATCAGCCCAACTTTGGTGATCCTCCTACCAAAGAGGATTTGAAAAGACAGCTCGGGAGTTCCGGGCTTGGTCTCAAAAACATTTTCCGCTGTTTTGGTGAAAATACAGAATTAGAGTGCCACAGCTGCTCCTCTCAGGGAAGAGTTTCAAATGTTTGTATTAATAACAACTGGCCTCAAGGCGGAGGAAGCAGCAGCAGCAGCAGAAGTAGCAGCTACAACAGAGGGCAAGGCAGCAGCAGCAGTATAGGTGTCAGAAAGAGCAAAGACAACAAGAAATATAGACATAGAGACAGAAGCAGAAGTAAAAGCAGCAGTATAAGTGGCAGAAGGACCAGAGACAACTGAGTGAGGAGCAGCAGCAGCAGCGGGTAGAGCAGTTCAGGGCTTTTTTGTACAGTCAGATGTTTCTGGTCCCAGTATAAGTGGTTCCCACTGAGATAATCCCATTAAAACAACATTTGATCATCACGATGTAAAAACTTTCATTTCATGCTACACAAAGAACAGTACTTAGTGAATTATCTTGTGGCATGTTATATAATAATGAACGATTACATGTTTAATAATGATCATATTTTATAGTTTAGATGCCTCCTGTTCTCTGTGAATTCACAACATTTTTATTTTCCCAAAAGTCAAAGCAAGGACCTGTTATTGTGCTGCATGGTCATTTTGAATAAAGCTTGATTCAGCATCAAACCTGCCGTGTCTGACTTCATCCCAGAAACTGATCAACACACAGTGATCACCTGATGAACTGAAAATGGAAGGATTTCAGTTAGTTAATTATCAAAAAATATTAATACCAAACACAAACTTTTTAGTGAAGTTGAAGAGTTTGGATTTTCTGGCAGCTGACTGGTTTAAGAGTATTATTTTGAAATGAAGATGAAATACCAGAACCAGAACCTGGGACTCTGCAGTGGTGAAAACTGGTCCGGGTGGTCACCTGACACCTTTCACCTGTCCAGCTGCAGAAGCTGCTGGCTAAAAACGTGCAGCACGTAAATTTGTTTGCAGACGATCTCCTGTTATATGTATCTGATTATCATCAACATGTTAGAACATTCTTATCTGTTAATGCAGAAAGAGTTGGTAGTTTAGTCCACAGTGAAAATAATAATAGTGCAACATAGTCGTATATTTATTAATATCTGTTACAGGTTTTGTGCATTTTGGATTTTCCTCCCGGTTTGTGGGACAAAGGAGATATAAAAAACCCACATTAATAATCAGAGAGTTACAGCAGCTTCCTGTGTGTTTGTGTGTTTCTATGTATAATTAAACAGCAGTCAGTGTGCTGATGCTTCCTTCTCTACACTCAGCTCTCGTTGATCCTCCTCCTATTTACATTTGGAACAGCTGATTTGATCTGATCAGAGGTATTGATCTGAATAAAACACAAAGACAGACCAGTGGACCCAGTACAGCTGACTGGGAGGCAAACAGAAGAGGACTGTGTGTCCTCAGCACAGCTGTTTCACAGTGAGCGCTGCAGACACGGCGCCCTCTGGTGGTCAGTCTGGAATTAACATTCACTCACCATGTGGCCAAAAGTATGTGGACGGCCCTCAGACCCACTTGTGGGGGAGGAGACAGCGACAGGTTTGTCTGCGGGTCAGGGTACCGACTGGATCCACCATCAGCCCACGGTAACCGAGCCCTGATTGGTCTCTTCAAACCTGACTTCAAACACATCTGGAAGAAACAGAGACGTGATGATGTCAGAGTGTGATCATGAGGTTTGTCCCTGATGTATTGATTAGTGATGGTTGGGGAATAAAAGCAGCAATGAGGTGAATGAGACGGGACCCTTCAGTGTGACTGACGGCTGTCAATCAGAGCGGTGTTTGGGTTTAGTGTGACCTCGTCAGTGCCTGCAGAGCGCTCTGAGGCCACCTGTCAATCAACACCATTAACACACACACACACACACACACACACTGAGTGTTAAAGGAGTTTCCTCTTCACATCACAAAGCATCTGACAGACTCGTGCTGACGACGAGTCTCTTTGGGAACCACTGGTCTGCTCACTTATTATCAATTAACCAAAAAAATTACTCGACTTATTTAATTTCCAAAATTTCAGAAAACTGTAAAAATAATCTCCACCCCAGTTTCTTCAAATGTGTTGTTTTCCCCAACAGAGATCCAGTTTCCTGTGACAGTTTATTATTACAATGACTAACCGACTAATAAACATGTTGATTGATTCTGTTGCTCATTTATTCCATTTATGGACTAACTGTCTGCAGCAGGGCTGCCACCATTTTTTATTCAAAGGTTTGTTCAAACATGAGAAAAATATGATATTAAAGTGTTTCCAGTCAGAACACGGGTTTGAAGTAGTTTACCTTGTGGTCCAGCAGAGGGCGCTCTCCACAATCACTGTCAGCTGCTGACCTGATCAGTAAACTCAGCTGATCAGAAAAGGAAGTCACAGAGAGGCAGAGAGAGGAACTGTCAGTGCCCAATCCGTACCGCCCATAGATATCCATAATAAAGGCTAGATGTCTCGTCCGCGCTGCTGGCCAATGGAGGTCGACGTCTGCACCTGGCGGCCATCTTGTCACACTCACTGGTAACATTGTGTTTTGGTGCATGTACTTGTTAAATAATCATAACTTCCTCAATTTTATACCGATTTTCAAACGGTTTGGTTTGTTATAAACGTCAGAGATGTCGTTATGACACTTATAAATAATTATAACGGACTTTCATATGAAAATAACATTGAACAGAACAGATAGGTGCAATGAATATACACGCACAAGGTATTTATGGTAAATCAATATATAGGCTACTAAAACTCAGTGTACAAAATGGCACCATAATTTATATATAGGCTGCCAAACGATTAATTACATCCAAAATAAAAGTTTGTTTACATAATATGTGTGTGTACAGTGTATTAATAATAATTATGTTTAATATATAAATACACACACACATGCATGTGTATTTAAGTTAAGTATTTAATATTTGCATGTATATACTGTATATAGACTTGTATATGTATATGCCAGACCTGGTCTGTATGTATATTTTATATAAAAATAACACATTTTTCTTAAATATATACATGTGTGTGCATTTCGAATTTCAAATCGTTATTGGTGTCAGTAAAACCTATATAATTGAACAGCTCGATTGTGGTCTCAGCCTTGATAACTTGCGCAAGTCGCCGTGATACACAACTATGCTGTACGATTAAGTCGTTTCTCAAAAAGAAAATCTGCAATTTCAACATGTTCAAGCCTCCAGAATTATAGCCACGTTAATAACGTTTGTAAGAAACCAAACCGTTTGTAAATCTGTCATGATTTCAACGAGAAGAGTATTTGGGTTCGTGCTGATCACTCATCTTACATTAGGTACCACAGAGAACGCCAGGAAGCTTGCCTGTGACAAGATGGCCGCCAGTGATAACAATAGAGACTCCGCCGTAAGACATTTAGCATTTATTATTCTTAGATTTAGTTGACTATTCACATTTAATTTCAGATGACAGCTTCTTGTTTTTCTTTTGATACTGTCGAACATAATTTTCTTTATCATTCACTCAAGAAGTTTGGCTTTGGGGATTTCTTTTGTGATGCAGTCAGGACTGTATAGTAATGCAAATGGTTAAATTAAACTTAAAAATGGGTCCTCACCCAGATTTGAAATCAGACGTGGAATTCGACAGGGATGCCATATTTCTCCCTCTCTTTTTTTACTTGCAGCCCAACTTTTATGTGAATACATTAAAAATAGTAATTTGCAGGTCATTTCCATTGCTGAAAAAACAGTCATTATTAGTCAGCTGGCAGATGACACAACACTGTTTTTAAAAGATAGCTCCCAGGTTCCTCTTGCTATTGACATAATAGAAGTCTTCAGTAAAGCCTCTGGTCTACGATTAAACCTTACAAAATGTGAATTACTGGCTCTTAAAGATTGTGATGTTGACTTAATTGCTAATATTCCTGTGAAAAGCTCTATTACTTACTTAGGTATTGTATTTGATAAAAATGAACCCCAAAGATGCAAGAATAACCTCACTCCCATTGTCGAAAAAAATGAAGAAATTTAACATGTGGCTATTACGTGATCTGTGTCACGGGTTGGGGTGCTGAGTGCAGACTGGGGCGAGGACCCAAATGCAGACAATGGCAAGGCGACCAAAAATGTTAATTAACTCAAAAAACTAACTTAAACAGGCTTACAAGGAGCTCGAGGCAAAGTCCAACAAAGGTAGTCCAGAACACAAGGCGATCCAAAACACAGGGAATAATCCAGAACTACGAAGACAGGGAACAAGCAGGAACACTCAACTTTAGACGCAAGGACGTGACAAAGACTGGAGAGACAAGCAGGCATACATATACACAGGGACTAACAAGCGGGGCGGGAGCAACACAGGTGAGCGGGATCAGGACTAACGAGGCAGAGAGACAGCAGGGGGAAACAGAGAGAACACTAGACAAGCAGACATGGGGCAGAGTGAATAACCACGAAGACAGAAACACACACAAGTTACAAAGAACCAGAACCTAAACGAGAACACAGAACTAGAACACAGAGTACACAGGAGACCAAATCACAACAATACAAACAAGGACCAGGAATCATTACCAAAACATGAACTAAGGACATGGAACTAAACTCAGACTCCCAAACAAGACACACAGACGGAATCATAACTATCTGTCTTTGAAAGCCAGGATTTTACTCTCAAAGGCCGAAGGAATTTCAAGAGTAACATACGCTGCCCTATCTTTATATATAGATCAACAAATGTGCAAAACCATTGATAAAATCCTTTATGATTTTGTATGGAAAAATTGCAATCATTATCTGAAAAAGTCTTTTTTTATGAATGAGTACAGTAAAGGTGGCCTTAGTGTTCTCGACTTTACTACCTTAAATTTCACTTTCAAGATTAATTTGATTAAGCGGTATTTAAATTGCCCAACCAGTATGTGGAATTTTATTCCACATTATGTCTTTTCTTCAGTTGGTGGTCTCCAGTTCTTGTTGCTGTGCACTTATAATATTGAAAAAATTCCTCTGAAACTTTCTTTGTTTCACAAACAAATGCTACTGGTTTGGTCCCTAATTTACAAGCACAACTTCACTCCTCATAGGTTTTATATCTGGAACAACAGATATATTTTGTATAAAAACAAATCAATTTTTTTTCGACAGTGGTATGACAATAATATTTTACTTGTAAATCAATAATTTAACCAACGTAGTCAACTTTATAACTACATGGTATCACCATGGTATCCCTGTTTCACCAAAGGACTTCTCCATTGTCTTCGATATCTTCAGCTGTCATCTCACTTTTCAAAGGTTTTAATGGATCTGATGATCCCCCAACACTGGTGGATGTAAAAGAAACAACTGTTGGGAATATCTGTTTTTCACTGCAACCTAAGAGTAGGAATAAGGCCATTTGTCAACCTTTTCAACAGGACATTAGGAGTACACCCGCTGCTGTATCATATTGGTCTTCATTTGTTGGAGAGATTTGTTGGGAAAAAGTTTGGCTTTTGCCACACAAGTTTTTTTTAACCAACAAAGTCAAAGAGATCTCATTCAAAATGCTTCACAGATTTTATCCCACTAAGGGTTACCTGCAAAAACTGAAAAAGGACTTGGACATCAGCTGTACTTTCTGTGGAGAACTCAATGAAACACTGGTGCATTTATTTTGGTCTTGCCCACATACCAACAAACTTTGGAGTAAAGTTTCTCAGTTTATTGTTGTCCATATTTACCCTCAATTTGCATTGCGGTGGGAAAATGTATTGTTTGGATTCACTAAACGTTACAAAAAATTATATTATATAAATTTACTTATTATTTTAACAAAATTTCATTTGCACAAGTCAAAATTCTTAAAAAAGAAACCAAGCTTTTTGGAGCTTGCTGCTAACATTAAGCACTATGTTCTTTTAATATCCAAGTGTAAAAACAAAAAAGCTGTTAAATCATCTGACCTCTGTAAGCTTTACAAGATATTTATTTAAACAATTTTTCTTCTCTTTTTTTCCATAACCCTTGACCTCCCTGGCCTATTTGTGATATCTCCATAGACTTTACCGATGTACAGAAGATGTCCTGCTGCATATCCTAATTTTGAATAAAGTTTTTTGAAAAAAAAATAAAAATCTAGCCTTTATTATGGATATCTATGATACCGCCGGCCTGATCCGCTCTGCACATGCTCAGAAGTGGTTCTGTCAGTCAAAGAAGGTCACCGCAGATCTGCCTGCTCAAAATGATCCAACTAAATCTTTCAAATCAAGATAACAAAGTGTTTTTTAATCTCTGGAGATGAAACTGTTCACTGTGATTAACAGGAAAATACTTTAGAAATGAAAAACCTGATTTCTAACAAAGGAGGCTAACGCTAGCTGCTAGCGACGGCTGCACAGCTGTAGGGTTAGCCGGTCGACGTGCAGACAGTCGCTGACTCAGGTTTAGGCCCACCCCCCTGTGGTGGTTAGGGTTAGGGGGAGGGGCTTTGGGAAGCTGTCAACGCCTTTTATACTAACATAGCTAGCTACCTAGCTAGCTACTAGCGCTTCCGGTCTCGACAGGGCGTCTCATCCGGACGCTGAAGGGTAGCTCTGACATCAAATAACGCTTTGTCAGCCTTTCTGAAAGCGTCAGTATTTGACGCCCTGAGATGAGAACAGACAGCAACACAGGAGTAATTATGAACAGGCACATTCGTGGAAACCTCCTTCAGACAGACAGGGATCCGGCAGGCAGCACGGAGTGGGTACCTACAGATACAGAGTTACTCCACAACACACCTGAGGACAGGTAAGTAGTCCTTACCTTGGTACTGAGCATGTGCAGCTCCCAACCAAGATCTACTAGAAGTGAGATGCTTCAACACGCAGAGTGAAAAGAGGAGCTGCAGCAGAGATCTGGTGTAAACCTGCTCTGCTCCAAATCAAATGAGGAACCTGAAAATGAGCTCAACACGACCTCTTCAGGTAAAGAAGTAAGAAGTCTGGTTTACATTTACCTTTCCATCATTTCTAAAGCGTTCATCGAGGATGAAACCTGTTTGTTTCCCTCCTGCAGAAGTCAGCCGGCGTCGGAGCGATGAGAGCAGAGCGGTTAGTAAAACCCCTCCAGGAGGGACGTGGTGAAGTTTCTCCTGAGAAGAAAAGCTACAGAAACACTGACTCTGAGAAACACCACCAGCAAGGAGACAGCAGAAGAAGTCAGAGAAGGTCAAAGTTTATTAAAACCATTTATTCAGGCTTCAGGCAGCTGACCGGGTGGACAGAGGTCAAAGGTCACAGGAAGCCTCATCAAACAGACTTCAGTGGAAAGAAAGACGTGTTTGCTGTTAAAGAGGAGGATGAAGATAAATTTCTCCTCAGCTGTGAAACTCATCAACCAGTTCAGAACTGAATCAAATAAAGACGAAGATGTTGATGGACGGACGTCTGGCCTCAGTTTCCCTCTAGAAAACATCGTTGGTGGAGGAGTCTGGATCTGCTGCTGCGCTAACCTCCTCCTCCTCCTCCTCCTCCGGTCTGATGGAGGGCAGATGAACATCCATCCTCCTGGTTCCAGCTGGAGAAACAAACACAACTCATCAGTCCCAGTTTATCAGACTGCATTTCCTGTGTTTCCTCCTTCAGACGTCTCTTCACTTCTTCACAGGTTACCTCACAGCGCTTCACATCAGATTACAATAAATAACGTCTCCAGAAGACATGAAATATGTGTTAGTTTGTTTTACAGGATTACAGTCTGCTGATCTGCTGAACTCTTTGTTTTTAGCTTACTCAGGTTTTATTTGTTAGTTCAGAGCTTTTATTCCTTTTTGTCTGAAGCTGAATGAACTCTTTGATCCGGATCATCTGCATCCTAACCCAACAGGATCCCGTCTGTCAGCCATTAAACGAACCAAATGTTACAGACAGGAAATGGTGCAAATCCAAACTGCAGATCCATGAAATCCATCTCTTCTTTAACTAGAACTCGGCTGCTGTTTGAAACTTGCCTGAACTTCTGAAGAGTCTTTTTTCCAGAGTAAAGTTGATGAAATCTCAGTTACTAACAGCATGTGGAAAGACTAGAAACGAAGAGAAGGGAACTGAACAGTGAAACTGACACTAGAGAATCTCTTCCACGTGCTGCTCAGCCGGCTGAAAAACATCATCTAGATGCTCCATGATGACGACATGAGTCCTGCTGTTATTGGACCTTTGGCGCTGCTGATCCTAACGTATTCCTACACACACGTGGTCATGGGGTTGGATTTTCAGGTTTGGTTATCAAGTGACTCAGATCATTGGGGCACTGGAAACTACAACACCAACGATCTTGACCTGTGGTGTCCCCCAGGGGCTGATTTTAGGACCCTTATTATTTACTTTGGGCCCCTGGAGTCTCTTTGTCAGAGTGTGACAACCTGCAATTATCACCAGGTTTCACCACCGGCGGAAAACCCCGGAAACGGCCATTTTGATTCAACACACACTGATTTGTTAAATCTCCTGCCTTAAAAATGTCAGTGTGTTGGAAGGAGAGCGACGGAGAGGAGCAGTGAAAAATCGGCCGGGGCAACACACTCTTTGGACAGTCAGACTAGAGGAGAAAGTAAGGTAGTTAATCCTTTGCCTACTGTTCTTCATCCGTGACTATCGGACGCCAATCCTCACTTCGCCGTGCAAAGTTGTTGCGGTAGCCGGTAAAACATTCTCCACCCAGCAGCAAAACCCCGGACTGGATTCTTGGACTGACTGGACTCCGTGACTTATCAAACTCTTTACTATGACGTTTTGTTTTGTGGCTGCAAAACTGAACCAGCTTTATTTTGGTTATTTATTCTCGCCATCAGCACCGAACTGAACTTATTTTTGTGTTTTTTGAAATGAACTGCAACTAATTTGTGTTTCTGAGATTGGTTGGTTTAAGTGTGCAGAACACCCCAAGTGGAACTTTGAGTTGGATTGTGCTTTACTTTGTGTTTTTGTGTGAAATCCTTAAATACACCAATGTTTTGTTTGCGCTAAGCTTTTGAGTTGTGGTGGTTCTTTCTTTTATGGTCATTCAATGGAGGGAGTACGTTCTTTTAAGAGGTGCATCCTTTGTGACATTTGATTTAAAAACCGTTGGCAACCAGGAGAGAGACCTGGCTGGCACCCCGAACAATAATAATTCAAACTGTGCAAATCAAACTGTTACAAGAGCACTGACCAAATGAACAGGACACAGTAAAAATCTCAGACACAAACAGAGCTTTTGGAAAAACATGACTTAGAAAAACTCGACCCTCGCTGGCAGATGATGAAACCTCTTTGTAAACACAGCAGTTGGTTTCAGGTGAAAGTGTCGGTCATCCAGGCAGCAGAAGTTTGATCTTATCTCTGTTCAACACTGAGGAAGTTCAACATTTCAACACACTGATCACAGTTTGTCTTCAT